TTTCTAAATTTGAATGCAGATTTTTAGAGAATTATGACAGAAACATTTTAAGGTATGCCACTCCAAAATCCGATTAAGATAAGTCGAGTTATGGAGTTTAGAACTTCAGCCGTAGGACATTTCTTAACTTTTTCGAATTTCTGCAACATCATAGCATCAAAAAAATTACAAAAAAATTTTAATTTCTAAATTTGAATGCAGATTTTTAGAGAATTATGACAGAAACATTTTAAGGTATGCCACTCCAAAATCCGATTAAGATAAGTCGAGTTATGGAGTTTAGAACTTCAGCCGTAGGACATTTCTTAACTTTTTCGAATTTCTGCAACATCATAACATCAAAAAAATTTAAAAAAAAATTAATTTCTAAATTTGAATGCGGATTTTTAGAGAATTGCGACAGAATCATTTAGAGGTATGCCACTTCAAAATCCGATTAAGATAAGTTGAGTTATGGAGTTTAGAACTTAAGCATTGGGACATTTCGACTCGGCTATCAAGAACATATATATTTTCAACGAATCAGTATTCCCTTTTATTTTAACAGGTATAACCAGAAAAATTAAAATTTTAAGTTCGTATTTTGAAAATTTTAATTGAACCGGACAAAGCAATCTTTGTTATTGACAATCGTAAGATACTTTTTTCCGAATATGGGACTATTTTATAGCTTTTTGTTCATGCCGCTTGGAAAAAGGATAATTCTCTCCGGTAAGAGGCAACCAGACATGGAGTCACTTCTGCAAACATACCACTATCCCATGCACTGTTATGTGAACTAAACAGCGGAGGCAAAAAAAGAGAAGGCTAACTGAAAATTAACCTTAATTAAGTTTGTCATATCTGGGGTGTATGATCGGGCGGCAACTTGGGGCTTGTGTGTGGCCGGCAGCTCTCTTTGGCTTTTGGCTCAGGGTTCAGACTGGAACTCCAGCTAATGTCACCGGCAACATGACAGTGGACAGCATGACAGCAAAAACAGTGTTCGAACCGGGGCTAAAATTAAACAAAAGGCGGTCAAATAAAGCAAAGGCGAAATCTATGTTAAAACGCAAGCGATTAGAATCGTTTTGGCCGGCTAAAACACACCTAATTGCCGGACAAGTTGCTAGAGGACGGCTAATTGAAACGCCGCCCGCTCGTGTTTTCTACCAGATTCTTATTTTTTTCAAGGTTCACTCTGGGCAATTTCAGAGTGTGTGTGTCGGTTTTGCAAGATTGCAAGACTTTTTTCATCAGTGTTGCTGCACAGAATAATTTCAATTTTATTTACCTGTCTTGGGAGCGGCCGTGGCCAGACACGTTTTGCTTTTGGCCCAAACAGAACACAGAGACATGGCTGAAACTGAAATAGAAAAAATGCATTTGCCGCGAATCGAGCGGACAATAAATACGGGCGACCGCCCATTTTTATGGCAATCAAATGCGTTGTTTAATTCGAATTGACTTTTTGAACTGGCTGGGAACTGGAAAACTGGGAAACGTGTCGCACGTGCCACCCCTGCCCCTGTGATACTTTATTCGATTATTGGTGTAGGGATTGTCAACTGTCATTTCGATTATTTGGATCGCAGACCGCAAAAGAGTGGAATTACTTGCAGATAACAAGCCACAAAGGAGTGACCTACAATTCTGATAGAGCACACTCGAATTACCGGTTATCGTTATTTAATGATTGATCTGCTGCCATAGATAGGAATGGCTGAAAGCCAGTTTTATGTTGAAACGTCAAACAAAACATTTGTGTGCTTCACATAGGATCTGCGTTGCCAATGGCAGATACATATTTATTAGAGCCACACTTCAATATATGGACCCAACAAAACAGTTTTATCCATTTATGTCTACCTCCAAAGCCTATATCATTTTCCAATCCAGCAACGGAGGAAGAAGTGCTTAAGTACTTTACGATCAAACTTGTGAGCAAAGTTTGGAAAGTTTTCAGTGTAGGCTGCATGGCAATTGATAGTTATACCATAAACTTGCTTTAGAACTATGGCACAACACCCGAAAACAAAAACCAGCCCATTTGCCCGAAAAAATAAATGCAATCAGCGGAAGTTGCCTACTTCTTTTCTCTTGGTCAAAACAAGTTGCAGTTTTGGCTGGGTAGAATTGGATTGCGGTGGGCGTAGGGTGGTGGTCGGAGGATAGGGGCGTGGCACTGGGTCGGGTGCCAAACTTTGTGGCATAAACTTTTAATGAGTTCTTTTTATTTGCGATTTGCATGGCCACGCCCCCCATTTGTCACACAAATGAAATCTGCCAGAGCGAAATTGCATTAAGTTGCCGCTTGTAGGGCATTCATATCCACCACCAACCACCCACCATCCACCCACCATCGACCACCCAATCTCAATGACATTGCCTACTTGGAGGAGCACAACTTTGGTCAAAGACACTAGCCCCCTCGACGGACTCAATGATGAGCAGAAAACAAAAATTGCGAAATAAAATAAATAAATATGCCCGAGTGCAAAACTTTTAAATTGAAAATGCGCTTTGAATATTTCAGCGCTTCAGATTCTCCGGATCCTTTCGCCATCTTGTGCGCCATTGCACTCGCTAACTGCACTTGTGCTCATCTTTGTCTCCAGCGGCTGGGCTTCCTGCCACGCCCACTTTGCCCACTTTGCCCACTTCCATCTGTCGACGTCTGCGAAAGGCGAAAATAATTTGAAATTTTAATTAAAAGTATTTGGGCAAAAGTTGCTGCGCTGCCAGCGGCTCTGCTTTTCTATCACCAGACAAATACGACAAAATCAAAAACACAAAAAACGAATAAGCGAAATCACGAGCAGAATTGGCAAGACTTGGAGGAAACTATTTCCGGGCCTGCTTTTCAGCCCGGTTCGCTCGATGGCATTTCAGCTTAAATTTTAATATCCCCGCCGACGGCAAAAATTGTGCACTTGAACAAGCAGCCGAAAAAAGCAATTGTTGCGGATGCGACAAGTGTCGCCCTTACAAGGGCTTTACTGCTCATTTCGTTCCTTGGGGCGTTTATGCGCAAGCGAACTACGCGATCGTAAAACTGAGATCAAATTACATCTGAAGTAAAAATTTCTCTACTACAAGTTTAGTATTTGTTCTGTTTATTTCCCCACTGATCTTGATTTGAGTGCTTTTATCACATTGAAGTACCTTGATTCGAGTTCCCGAACTGTGTGTGCGTATGAACGTCTTTCCCATCAATATGCGTATGTGGAACAAGCGAAAAAAATAAAAAGTTAAACCATTTGCCTTACTAGAAGTCCACTACTTCCTTCTAGCCATAATTAAACCCCAGAAGCTGGTTGGCCACAGGGGGAAAGAAGCCTCCGGAGAAGAAGCCTCTTCGTGTTTGCTGCCAGAAGGACAGAAGGAAAGAAAGAAACTTTATTAATAAAAGTTTTTCCTTTGGTATTTTAGCCAAGTATTATTAAAAACTTTGATATACGCAACGCCGGCAGTTCCACACACCGACACACGTGGGCCCCAACATATGTCGACGTCTGTCGGAACATTCAAGCGTTAAATTGTGGAGGCCCTTTTTATGCATGCGACATTATTTGTTGCTTGTGCTTGTGCTTTGCTTGTGCTTTGCTTTTGATTTTTGGTGCTTCTTGCTTGCTTTTATTAATTTCGTTGTCATGACATTGAGTTTGGCAAGTTTCGGTCGTGGGTGTCGAATCAGCAGCTAATTTGCCGTTGTTTTGAAGTCTTCACACGTCAATATTGTTGACTGAAAAACAGCTGACAAGTAATAATTTAAAAATGTGAAGGTGCTTTCGACGCGTCGCTTTTCCTTCCAGGACTGAAAAAAATACTTAATTCGATTTTAATCATATGCTAAAAATAAATTGAGGCCTGAGGATTTGTAAACACAGCTCCCAAGCAAATTGTACAAATAAGAGGTTTTCTATCTACTTAAGATGTTCTTCTCAATAGTTGGATAATAATTCTTGGGCCTTGTGTCAATTTGCATTAATTTTGTGACAAGATTATAACAGCTTTCTTCAGCCCCTTCAAACTGCTGGTTACAGAGGCTAAGTGGCTAGTTTGGGCGGCTCGTAGCCAGGTTTGTCAACCTCTAGCCGTCTTTCCAAAATTACTGGCAAAATCCGTAGTGGCTGCTGTGTATACTGTATCTATTCGCTGATGTCGGATTCCGGCTCTCAAACTATTTGCACATTGAGTGCATGCATTTTAGCATTGGAAAGAGAATATCTAATGAAGTGCGTCCCGTCCATTAACTGGGGAACGCATTTTCTCTTAGTTTAGTTCCATTAGAGCGCAGTCTGGCTTTGACTGGAGTCCGACCCGAGCGATTCGACTTGTTTTTTTATGGCTCTCACTTAGCTAGACAAACTAAACAACTAATTAAAGTAAACCAAAGGCAGTTAGCCAGAAAATTCGTTGACCGGATGGGCGGAAGCAATGGCTTAGACGGCACGGCTATGCAGACTCGCACTCCCGACCATGAATATGCAAATATGAGGCTGTCATCCAGCTCATTTCCATTTCCATTCCCATTCCCATTCCCGTTGTACTCGTACGCTTTCCCATTTCCCTCAATCGGGTGAGTTGTTCATTAATTTGCTGACTGGGGAAAAGCTGGATCCTGAATGCCGGGATGTCATCACAGCTGCTTGGTTGACATCGATACTGCGACGGTTGACTTTGTTGGCTCTTAATTGATTGCAGCCATTTAGGCATCGTTCCCCTCACTCCCGGAGCCATCCCCTCCGGAATCCTCATCATGGTCCTCATCGTGGTGGTGTGAATCTTTGCACTTGTCTTTGAATTAATTAAAGAGCGTGTTTTCAAGTCGGTCTGTTGGCGAAGCAGTTGCCATCGGACGAAAGTTATGAAAATTGCCTACGGATTCGAGCATTTATACAAGCTAAGTTAAATGCACCGCCATTTCTCTCCAGTTCTTATAATTAGCCCACAATGATTAATAGCAACGGGCATTTTCTTTTGCAAGATTAGCTTATATTTTATATATAGTCTTTAAATACACATTATTTTTCTCTCGAGACATTCCCTTTATTTTGTTGAAGCGCATTCATTACTTACTTTGCGTACTTCAGGAAAACGATAGTGCGTTTTTCCAAGGTCAGAGCAGCAAACGCCATAAGCGTTTTACACTTTTTTCCTTAATTTCCCTTCGGCCTTATCAACATGTGTACCGTCTTAAGGGAATAGGTGAAGTCGTGCCATTCGGCAGTGTTCCAGTAGACTCCAACGCCGTCGTAGTCGTATACTTGATCTCCTTCCGAATAGATGCCATTCAGATTGCTGTGGGTAAGGGTGAATACGAGTCTCAGAAGTTGTCTTTCACATGATCTCACCTGGCACCACATCTGTCTCCGTACCACCAGGCACCTTCCCGCTTAGCTGCGCATTTTTCAGGGCTGTCCTCGTCGTAAGTACTGAACCTGGCATGTAGATTATGGGTAAGTGCATCACCAGCATTGCCCGTGTACTTTCCAAGGGATGCGAGTGCATAGCCAGAGTCCTCTTCGTCCACCTCAAACCGATCGTAGCGAGCAAATCTCTGCTCTCCCTCAAAGTCTTCCAACTGAATGTGTAGCTCATACTGCTCCGATTTGGTGAGTTGGTGGAGCTTTTGCAGTCCGATAAAGAACTCTCCCGTTATGTTCCCAAAACCCTCCCGATATTCATTCCACTTGCGGATGAAGTTGGTCTTGCCATTTTCTCGTCTCTGGATTACAATCCAACCAGATCCCGCCAGAAGGCTATTGCAATAGACTTCTACATCTCCAAGCGAAGGCACTTGGATGGATTGCACTCCGGTAAAATTGCCAAATAAAGCGCAGCCACTTTGCCTAGAATCTAAGGAATCGTTTATATCTGATTTTAAGGTAACAGCATTCCCTGGATGATCCGTGGGCTTAGTAGTTGGTTGAAGGAGGTTAATCAGTTCCTCATTTGCAAGCAGAGTAGTGTGACAGGTGTTCAGTCCTAACTCCAACCTGGTCAGCGTATTAGCATTCTGGCTTAGTAGGAGCTTAAAGTTCTCGATCTCGACGTCTTTAATCTGTGATGTTCCTAGGTTTTTTGAGCACTCAAGTAAATCCTTTTCGATTTCCTTGATTGCATTACTTTTTAGTTCGCTTATTTGTTTGTAGAAGCTCTCCAACATTTTAAGATTATGGATGAGAATGCCTTGGACCTTCAAGTTCTCTTCGAGTTGCACATACTGCTCTCTAAGCCTTCCAAGTAGGCTGACCAAGTTCTTCGATGTAATGACTCCATCAGTCCCGTTCTCTGAAACGAGTTCCCTGACTTTCTTAACTATCTCCCCTTCGAGTGGCGTCAGTGGAACCTCGTTCACAATTTTGTGAGTGGAGCAGCGAGGAGTGTACGAAAATGAGCAATGACACACACTTAATACGATCGCAATCAACACTGACTGAGGTGCAGCTCCCATTGCTTCTTCATCGACCAGTGAATTCAGACTGAGGTCGGCAATAAGCTGAGGAATACTTTATAGTCATTGCGTGAGGCTATCGAGTTCCTGCTCAGAAGTGAAGATTAACTGGCAGCATTTACATTATAATAATAATAAAACTACTAGGTATGCAAGTATTTCCTTTCTGAGCTTGTGCAATAGTCGGAAAGCTTAGTGAATTTTTGTATTTTGTTTTTGAGTGAAAAGTATATACATTTGTTCCGAAACGGCTACGTAAAATTCCATAAGATTCTCTTTCCTTATTGAATGACAACTTTAACTTGGCGGCAGGAAGCGGGAATAAAACAGCTTCCTACGGTTGCCACACCAATTAAATGGTTATATTTTATTAAAAGCGCGCCACAAAAGACACATTGCCTTTGCCAGTGGTGCTGGCAATACCATTGCCATGGCAAATAGACGCTGCGACTTTCGCTCATTTTGCGGTGCAACTGAGCGTATACGCAACGCGGGGGCAAAGCGCCTGGAAGAGCCACAATGGGCAGGTGTCTCGACGCCGTCGGTTGCCATAACGTCCGTGCTGACGTGGCACTACCCTCTCCTGATCCCAGACTCCAGACCCCAGGCCCAGATCCCAGCCCAATCCGGAACCCAAACCCGATCCCAGTCCGGTTGCAGACCGCCGCAGGACGGGCCAGACAAACGCTGTTATTTATTCCGGATTTGTCTACCTTTCCCCTTTTTATTTATGTTTGGCAGACGCCAATTTTCATGGCGGTGGATGCAGCTCAGCTGCGCTGGTCTGCTGGTCTGCTGGTCTGCTGGTGGCCGCATCTTTCCCAGGGCAGCAAATCTGGCGGATTCCAGCATCCGCATATCCACGTGACTTCGGCTCCATCTCCTGCCCCTACTCCACTCACCAACCAGGCGGAAAATAAAAGAAACCCAAACCCCCTGTCGTCGCAGTTGCCAGCTCACCTTTGATTGTCTTAGAGCGGCATGCTGGTCAGCCAGTAATGAAATCTGCCCTTAAAATGGCAAAGGTTGGGGATGGCCATCCCTTTGTTTGCTATCTCTGCACAAAACATTTTTGCTGTAAATATTTTAGCTGAAAATGCCTCTGCTACAGTGGCTTTTGGCTTTTGTTTCTCGGTCTTTGTCTTGTGCGGAATTGAAACGTTTCGGATTGTTGCCAGTCAAAGTGCAAGCTGCTGGACTCTGTCTGTCATTTGGCCAAACACTTTAAACGAACTATTTTCGGGAAGGACTTTTGATTAAAAAACTTTCTGGCCATATCAGAGCAGTGCAAACAAATTCAATAAGTGGCACTGGCACTGCGAAAATCAATAGAAAATCGCCAGCAGATGCCAGAATTGCTAATCTAAGCCACAAAACACAGCCGCAGAGTGGGGCTCGCACTCGGGCTGGAATTTCTGGGGTGCGGGAGGCACATAAATTCAAGATGTGGCCATAAGATTTATGACGATTGCGAACGTGAACGTGAACGTGGCGCTTTCGGGAAAGCCCCCTGAATAGACACCAAAGTGGCAAGAAAGAAACGGTGGCAACATTTGCGAGCCTCTGGCCTTTGAGCTTTGGCGGAAATAGCCGCGAAGGAGGGGGAAACGCGGCGCAGGACTCTATGGTAAGATGGTAAGATGGCCGGCAATTTACAGTAGGCATATAAAATACACATAAAAATTGAAACTGCTCCTCAGGCAACTGCAGACATGGCGGGCGGAATGGGGCGAATGGGGCGTATACTTTACGCATTTTAAGTTTCAATTTCACAGTCGAATTTATGGCCAAAGATGCGGATGTGGCTGCGCCATGGCTATTTTATGGCCACTTCCGCTGACCAAAGGTCTAAGTGATTTCTAACATAAAAACATTACCGCAAGTCAGTCGGAGCTGGAGCCTGCGATGAACTTCACATTACTGACAAGTGCCAAATGCCAAAATCAAATTTTTCACTCGCCCATTTCCGTGACGCTTAATGAAATCCGGCAAATATTTTTCCGTGCCATTTCCATTGCCAGCAATCAATTGTCAACGTCCTCGCACTCCGCTTTATAGAGCTCGAGGGGCCGCCATAATCCGGCTTATTATGCAAAGTAAATGCGCCGGAGTCCGGACTCCGGCGACGGACTACGTACTACGGACTCCCCGGCCCTGATAATCTTCGGCGATATTTCATTGTCGTCGCCGAGGCTTGTAAATGCGTTAACAGCTCTCGATTCGTCTTCGCCCGGGCTCGAAATACTTCGGCTTCCGGTTGCCGCTTATGCACTTCCTGTGCTCATTTGTCGCCAGTTTGTAGCTCGCGGCCATATCTGTTTTTCTCCGGGATTTTACGAGGTCTTCCCTATATATTCGTCGCATGCAAATTTGCTTCTCCCGATTGTTCCGCCTTACAGATGGGAAAAGATAAATATGTAGCACAAACGCTCTCCTTTGCGCTTGAAATCAGAGCAATCCACTGATAACCAGTTGCAGTTCGTATGCGCCTTTAAACAATTAACTGCATTTAGCGTAAGATAGAAAATATATATCTTTATGTGAACCGTTTTTTTCGGTGTGCCGCGTTCCGTAAGCCTTTGCGACTTCATATCACATCATGTGCCCCTGCAATTTGATTGTCGGACGGGGTTTTCTCCTTTCTGGGGTCATTTCCATATTAAATGGTTTTTCTTTGAATTGATGAAGTACCATATTATGCGGGGCGCCTTCGCAAATGATAGCGACTCAGATTCAACCCCAATTTCGGACACGTTTCGATATATTTTGGGTCTCAGCTGGCAGTGCGTCATATCACTCCTTCTTTATTTTTGTAAGTTTACTGCTGTAGCGTTTCAATTACGATTTCATTTGCGTATTCAAATTGACGACCAGGTTATGGTTTCCTTAGATAAGCGAGTAAGTATTTAATAGAGATTGTGTACCTATGCATATATGAGCTGTAACTTTTGTTATATGGTTTTTTAACTACCAGAAATGAATTGTAGGTCTTCTCAGGTAAAATCTAATTACGTTATGACGATTTTTTATTGTATTTGCATTCACAGAGCATGGAAAAAATCTGATAATACAACCCCTTGATGATGCGCCGTATACTTGTGCACTGCATACTGAACAGCTTCCTCTCGCTTTTCCAAGCTTTTCCGCATCAATTTTTTCCATTACGCTTTCCACCGCCCCTCAAGTTTTGTCATTTTCGGTTTGGCATTGGAATGACTTCATTTTGAGCTCGTCCATGCAAATTTGCAACTGATTTCGGGCCAAATCACATTGTCATGTGTGAGTGTGTGTGTGTGTGTGTGTGTCCGAAGCGAAGAAAATGCAAAAGCGATCTAAAACCTCTAAAATTAAGCTATCATAAGGTTTTACAGCCGGCCATCAACATGGAGTACAAGGTGGTATCTGCGCCAGAAAAACGCATAAGTATAAAGAGCCAAAAACGAAATAAGTGCAGTGCCATGTCATTAAAGCAGGCAAGCAGACAATAAGCGGTGGAATGGAACAGGGAGCAGCGAAAAGGACGTCCAGGATGACTATGGCCAACATAAAATCACTACACACTGCAGATACGGGAAACGGTAGAGCTGGTGATGCCAATTTGGCTACTTTTAAGCTCCATTGCATGTAATATAGAACCCCATATGAAGTTACGAGTGTGCCACGAAATCTTTACTTGAAAACATCCTATATGATTAAATATTTAGCCAAAACTACACATACAACTCCTCTAGTCGTTTAACAACATATAGATCGTAGAAATAATATTTTAAAATACGTAGCTTAGTGGAGCTTTCCTTGGCTTGCAGTCGTCACCACTGATTCAACTATTTGGAGTGGAGTCCTTCTAGTGCTCACCGCTTATCGGACCACGATGTGTCCTGGCTGGGTGTCCCCGACCCGCCCACTTGCCGCCCACTGGCCGCCCTCCTCCCAGTGCGTTACGTATACGGAAAGCTGTAATCTGTGCTTATAAAATGGCAAATGGCAGCGCTGCAGAGGGTTTTTAATTGTCTGTGCCGGATGGCCAGTCTTAAATGCTTCAAGGAGGGCACACACATGGAATGGCCAACGACTTTGTCGAGAATTGCTGGCAGGCAAAAAACAAAAAAGGAGTAGATAAAGAAGCGGAAGGGGCTGAGAAATAATAGGGTTGAGCTCTGGGTTTTTTAATTAAAGCCCTCTCATAACATTATGTTAATGTGTGCGGCTCCCTTTGTCGCCCACGCACCTGGACCACCTGTCGTCAACTCTTTGGCCATCTAATTACTGGCCGAGATTGAAGTGGCAGCTAGAAAGTTATAAAAAGTAATTGGCTGGCAGTCATTCCACTTGATTTCGGCCAGCGTTCTCCTCCATCTCCACTCGAATGCAAATTGAGTGTGCTATCAGCAGCTGTCGAATGGCGTTCCCCGCTCCCTTTTCAAAAAAAAATTGCATTTGGCCTGGCCAACATCGTGGCCCACCTGTTTTGGCCCTGCCGCGCTTCACTTTGTGCCCTTTTCGGTAGCTTTTTGATGTCGGCAGATTTAGCGCACGTAGCACATTTTAATATTGTCGACAATTGTCATATTTGTGCAACCAAAAAGGCTGCCTCTGCCACGGATCTGTAGTACGCGATCTGTCGCTTTTCCCGAAATTGCAGCAATTACTAGCGACCAAAATTGACAACCACAGTCCGCTCTAATCGCCTTTGTTTAATAGACACACTGGGTTTTATTAACGCCGTAATTTAAACTGTGAAAAACAGGATTTCTTAGTTATTATGTCATGAAGTGTATTTTCAAATCAAAAATGTGCTGTTATTTTAAGCGAATTTCAATGGAATTTCTTTTGATTAAAATTCCTTTTCTAGCCACTCCCAGGACATTCATCCTCAACTCGCAGACGAATTAATTTTTATTTCCCATTTTTCATGCACCCGCTACCCGCAAGTCTACGGTATGTCATATCAATTGTCAATTTTAATTGCTGGCAGTTGTCATAACTCGGTTGTTAATTTTAAGGCTGTTTG